GACCTCCACCTGAGCTTCATAGTTATATCACACCATTTCAGCCAGATGATTTCCCAGGAGAGGATGAGGCGGGACCGAGTTCAGCAGCTGCCGCTGATGATGTGGATGACGATATATCAGGAGATGAGCAGTGAGGGATGTTCTTTCTACTTTACCCAGTCTTTGATTTTTTTTGGCATGTACTTATTAAACTGTGATATTTTGGATATTATGTGCATTGAGGACATTGCAAAGTCTGGGTATGGGGGTGTAAGCTAGTTAAGCTTTTGTTTTGCTAGTTAGTATATACTTACACATATATATATTTAAAAAAAAACTAACCTTATAAAAGAAGAGTGCGAAAAATGGGCACCACAAAAAAAAAACTCTTAAATTCAAGGTGATTCTATCTTATAAAGGCTAAGTTGACTGAGCAATTAAGCCCAATGAGTATCTCTATACTTAATGACCTAAGCCCAATTGGGTTGTGATTCATTGGCCCAAAACTCATTAAATGGTTAGTTAGTGACATATTCAAGTTCACCTTTTATGATAACTCCAAACAAAATTCCTAAGAAATGATTTTTCAACTAGTATACTTTACTTAAGTCTTACTTTAGATTTTTAATTAAAAATAACGAAAATTTTGCATGCTTAACTTAGAGTTGAAAATATTTTTTTCAAGTTATCTTGATTTACACAATTTTTTTAAACTATATATACTTACACATATATATATTAAAAAAAAAACTAACCTTATAAAAGAAGAGTGCGAAAAATGGACACCAAAAAAAAAAAACTCTTAAATTCAAGGTGATTCTATCTTATAAAGCCTAAGTTGACTGAGCAATTAAGCCCAAGGAGTATCTCTATACTTAATGACCTAAGCCCAATTGGGTTGGGATTCATTGGCCCAAAACTCGTTAAATGGTCACTTAGAAAGCCCGTTAAAATAGAAAACAATCACCAAGAATTAGAGAGTGAAAAAAAAAAATATATACCACTAACCATTGTTTTTATATATATTGTTGTTTTGTATATATGGTCTTGAAAAACAATTTTTGATCAAGAGACTTGAAAGTTATTTAAAACAAAGAGTTGGCATGTTCTTTTCAAAACTTTTTAATTAAATTTCTAAGATTTGACTTGGTTTTGTATTGCTATAATGAAAAAGATTTTCTAGGGGATTTACATTGGAGTTATATATAAAAACGTTTTCTTGATTATTAACTAGCTTCAATTAGAATGTTTAAATATATCAAGGAAAATCTGTTATTTACTGACTTATTTAACTTGGCAAGTTGACCGAATTTTGTGGGTATATTCACTGCAAACCCTCACGAGACTACAACTCGTCCACTAGGGTAACCTAGGGGTTTAAAGGCTTGTTGTATGCGCTAAATACAACCGCGATTCCTGCGAAAGTGAGTTAGGATTTTCTTTTTATTTTCTTTGCTAGAGGACTAGCAAAAGTTTAGGTGTGGGGGTATTTGATAATCACATTTTATTACAATTTTATACCCTCATTATCTATTTTATATGAATAAATATACCACTAATAATTGTTTTTATCTTTAAATTGCAGGTTAACAGGCATCGATGCCTGCATCGATACCGACATCGATGCCTGCATCGATGCCTGTATTGATGCCTGCATCGATACGCTGGGCAGTTTGTTACGAATCTAAGGCTAAAATTTGTTATTTTTTGATAAGATTTCAATCCAATGGCTCTCATTCACTGATGTTTACTATAAATAGGAGTAGAGAGTGAGGGGTTAGAGGTGTGAAAATTTTGTAAACTCCTTTTGGAGAGGAGGACTACTCTTAATTGAGAAGGCCTTCCAAAAATTGTAACTTTAGTTGCAATTAATAATAATAATTTTTCCTCTTTAAATTTGTTTCTTTCTCCTCTTGTTGAATGATGAGGATGGAGATGAAGAGCAATTTGAAGGTTTGCATTTCTTTTCTCTTTTATTTCTTTTTAGTAATTTCTTTATTATTGCTTATTAGTTAGATTTAAATTCATGCTTGTAGTATAGATTTACTTTCTTGTCTTTTTTATTTTCTTTTTGCACTTTAATTTGTAGAGTAGATTTATTTTTCTTGCATTTAATTTCTGCAATTTATTTTGTAGTTTAGATTTTTATTTTCTTTGTAATTAGATTTATTTCTTGTTCATAGTTTAGATTTTTCTTTTCTTTTTAATTTTGTAATTAGTCTTCTTTTTCTTGTTTTTATTTCTTAAGATGTGAATTTAATTCTTGTAGGAATCTTAGAATTGTATGAAACTAGTCTAATTTCTTTTATATTGTATGAATTATTCTCTTGTACTTAAAATGTTCATGTTTAGGATAATCAACTAGAGAACTAATCGGTAGAAGAAGAATTTGATAATCTATGCTTATCTTAAATGGTTTGATAGGTTATGCTTATGAATTCTAGGATTATTATCATGTTGTTGTTCTTATCATGAATAGTAATTTTAACTTAGATGATAATTTGATAGGTTACACTTTCCTTAAATGGTTTGATAATCTATGCTTAATAAATCTAAGTTGAAATATGATAAAAAGAGAATAGTTTATATTTTGTAATTGAAATTGGTTAGTGGATTATATTCTAGATTTCTTACCTCTTTTGAATCCTCCATCTTGACTTTCTTAAATTTTCTTTTCATTCTTAGTTTTATTTCTTGATTTTATTAATTCATATTTCTTGCCTTATGATTTCATTTATTCTTTAATTCTTCCTTCTCTCCTCTAAAATTCAATTTATTATCTTTTGCATATATTCAAAACAATCACTCATCACAATCACACTTATTCTTTATTCCTAATTGTCATGCACAAAACATAAGAACCATTTCTAATAATCTCTTAAAATCACCTTCCTTGTGGGATCGATATTTTTTATACTATAACTTGATAAATTGTGCACTTGCAATTTTGGTACATAATTATGCCCATCATTCTCTCTCTCTCTTTGCAGTCAAAAAGCTCTCTTTTTTTATGTAGTACAAACCCTAAAATCGTTTGGGGTATATATAGAATCCTGGTTGAAACAGATTTCTAAACAGAACGGGCCGGTCGACCACGACCTGATCCTGGCCCTCCTTTGCTCCTGTGCACGTTTGCGGTCGACCGACCCGGTCGACCGTCGTTCTGTCTGCGTGTTTTTCTGAGCTTTTGATTCCAGCTTTCATCTCGAACTTTGGGTCTACACCTTAAACTAACAATTTATTACAAGATTGTCTTACTTACAATACCACAACAAAGCTCATGGAAAACTATAACAAATTTTGAATACACACACACTATACAAATTTGTATGTACCCTCGCCAGTATATGTTTTCCTCTCAGAGCAATCAAGTAAAATTGAAGAAAACTTCTCTTTAGTCAAACATAGTTTATGATCCAGAGGAACCTAATTTTGACATTAGAACGTTAGAAGGGATGATGAGAAATGGATAGAGTGAAAATTTTAAAAGATTGTATAGTGTTTAGAGAGGATATTTGTTGGGGATTCGAAACAATCAATCGAACCCTTGCCCTTCCGGACATTGTGTTGAAAGTAGGAAAATATGAATAATACCACAAATAAAGATCTAACCTTGCAAAAATAGTAAAGGAGACGAACACACAGATTTAACGAGATTCGGCAACGTGCCTACTTCCTCGGGAGCCACACCACACAATCTCTTTATTAATTGAAGAAGAATTACAAGCTCTCAAACTATAGTTTAATCTCTCTGAGATTCTCTCTCTTCTTGTAGTCAAAAAGCTCTCTTTTTTCGTGTTGTTACAACCCTAAAAACGTTTAAGGTATATATAGAGTCCTGGGGAAAACAGAATCCAAAACAGTTTAGGAAACTGTTTGACCGCGGCGGTCGACCGCGCAGGTCTCACGGTCGACCGTGCCAAACGATAGAAACTCCCAGATTTCCAGAGAGTTGAGCGGTCGACCGCCGCAGTCGACCGAACCAAAAACCCGAGACAAAAAATCCTACAGGGTTGGCGCGGTCGACCGCCTTCAGCTTCAGCTCCTCCCAACTCTTGTGCATGTTCGCGGTCGACCGTGGATCTGTCTGCTTATTTTCTCGTCGTTTTGATTCCAACTCTTGTCTCGACTTTGGGTTTATATCTTAGACTAACAATATTAACTTGGAAAGAGCTCTAAAATGAATTTGGGGTGTCCTTTACCACTAGGGAAGAACATTTTGGGTTCAAATTTTAAGATAAGCGAGTTGTCAGATTAAACATGCTTAGAAACCAACTGGTGGAATTTTAACTAAGAGTATAACATACAAATCCTCTTATTACTAAACCAAATTGACGAAATTGCAAGAGGCGTATATATTTGAGAGGCCAGTGCGTACATATTTGAAGAGCTGGTTGGCAATAATAGGCGATTTAAGTGACTGGCATGCAAATTACCCCTTATTGTAGGATTCGGATCCTCTCCACTATAAAAAAAATAGTGGAGGGACCACTATATAATCACAACCATTGATTATCTAATTGATGGTTATGATTTTTTCTTTTAGTGCAAATTAGGAATGAGTGCAATACACGAGGGTATGATAAATGTTAGATTTAAATTGTATTATAACCGCCTACTAAATAATCAACGTTTGAGATTAAAATTAGTGGTCTATCCACTACTTTTTTGTAGTGGAGAGGATCCAAATCCCTTATTGTAACCCCGCCGAAAGTTGGTCAACCTTTTTTTTTTGTGACAAGGGAAACCCGGCCAGCTCTCCCAACATTAACTCCTTTGAAGTCCTCCAGCGGCCTTGGTTCGAATCCCTCGGGTTCCCACCTTCTGAAAGGAGCTACCATTGCTATCAGGGCTCATCCCCATGTGAATGAGCGATTAGCGTGAGATCCTAAATGCCCCCGAACTGGTGAGCATACAACGTATATTTATACTTAAATCATGCATTATAACATATATTTATACTTCTTAACACACATCACGACAAGACAATGACGTAATTTTACCCAATACCTACGCAAGTATCAACAAGTGATCCCACGTATTAATCTTCCATATCTTTATTTTAATAAACCTACACCAAGTACAAAACAAAAATAATTAATTTACTCATCAAAGATAATCATAATACTTTCACTTCCTCCTCCCCCACTTTCTTCACTCTCAAAACACAATCCCCTCAATGCACTACTACATCCTCCCAATTCTCTTCCTCCTCTCCCTCCGCCTCCTAAAAAGACACCTATGGATCCCTTATCGGATCCAGGCCCACTTCGCCGCCCAAGGCATCCACGGCCCAGCCCGCAACCTTTTATCAGGCAACGCCAGCCAAATCCGCGACCTAATCGGGCGGGCCCAACTAAACCCGATCCGACCCATCTCACACGACATCGTTCATCGAGTAGCGCCCCATTACGAGCGGTGGTCTGAGCGTTACGGGAAAAGGTTTCTTTATTGGTTCGGGTCTGGGCCGAGGCTAGCGGTTACAGACCCCGATTCGATTAAGGAGGTTTTGATGGATCAAACGGGTACGTTTGTGAAAGTCGGGTTCAACCCGTTATCGAAGCAGTTGTTTGGTGAAGGGTTGGTCGGACTTAAAGGGGAGGAGTGGGCAAAGAGGAGGAAGATACTGAGCCCGGTGTTTAATATGGAGAGGATCAAGGTCAGTTGACTCCCTTAACTTCTTTGCCGTACAAGTTTTTATTTGGGTTAATTTCACAAAAATCCCCTAAACTTTGGGGGTTTTGCACATAGCTACCTAAACTTTTCTTCTTAAAATCGAACATTTCCTCCTAAACTTTAGGTGTCTCACAAACCCTACTAAAATTTTGCTTTTTTCACTGCATGTAATTTGCGAATTACTAAAAATTTGTTTAGGGTAGAAAAAGTTTCTAAAATTAGGGGAGGGGTGTACGTTGCCTGTACAAATTTGAGATTCTTTCTCTATAGACATTTTAGTTATTTGCAAATAGTGACAGGGGTCCGGTTTAAAAAGTTTAAAGTTTAGGGGATTTGTTTTTTCATCATGTCAGTAGTTGTATTTATTATATAACATCTACTAGTGATTGATATTTTACTCTATCTCAGAGTTGTTGCTCCAATCACCAGTAGATATCTACTTTTGCAATCCTCTTTTTGTACTTATATTATTATAAATGATAGGGCTCGTTGCCCTATTTTACATTCAAAAAAAAAGTTTCGGGGATTTTGTGAGTACCCCACCCACACACAAAAAAAAAGTCTGTTCTAAGTGGTCCATACATAACTTCTACTCCTCTATACTTATAGGAGGATCCAAAGATTCACTATCCAGGCTACAACGAATTACTGTAGCGTTATTACTGTAACATTATTACTGTAGCACAAACAGAATACTCCAGCATTTTAAAAACTGTAGCGTTTTACAAAAATACTATAGCATTTAAAAAAGAATTATTGTAACAGAAATAAAAAAGTCTGCACGGGGTGCACACTAGTACCAGTTTAAAGTAAAAACATGAATAGTAAATGACGAAAAGTTACTGTATCAACTACCTGCTACAATAACCACCCATCGTGCTAAAGTAACTACCAAAGTGCTAAAAATTACTGTAGCCAACACTGCAGCACAATGCTCACCTACCGCAACCTCACCTATATATAGCTCTCCTCAGCGTTAAGTTTTGATCATCCCAATGTCTCTAATTAAGAGTGAAAAGAAAGAGAGGGGGAGAGAGAAAGAGAGAAAATTAGAGAGTTTCTCCTTGAGAAGAAAGATTGTTACTCCTAAATTTTTCTCATAGTTGATTCTTCTATCCTTATCCGTGATTTTTACTCCAAATTCATTTAGGGGTTGTTTTGTTTAATGTTTTTACCATGTAAAAGGATGGAAAGTGTAAAAAAGTGGGTCCCAATGTCAGCTTTCATTACTTTCAATTGTTTGTTTGTAGTTGTGAAAATAGTGTAAAGTGATTTCATATGCTGATATGGCTTGTAAAGTGATTTCATAAAAAAAGACATGATTTTAGGAGAAAGCTGACATTGAAGTCAGGAAAAAATAATAAAAAATAATTCCAACCAATATGATCATTTGAGTAGGGACCATTTTTTACACTTTCCAAACAAATAATTAAAGTTACATTTACAAACCAAACAATCAATTTATGATTCCTATGGAATAAAAAACAAACAAAGAAAAATATAGAAGTAAAATTGATGAGGTGGACAACAACTTTTCAAGTTGTGTCATAAATACACAACTTTAACAACAACAACCAAATAGCCCCTTAGGGGGTTTTCCATGTAAATCTGTGTGTTCATTTTATTACTTCTGCTTTACTATTCGCCGGACCTTGCTTTATTGGGCCCTGAGTTTGTCCCAACAGTAAATACAAATAAAAGTAAGTACATGAACAATGTTATCCGCTTTCGTACTGTCCTCACCTAATTTTTTTTTAAGAAAAATCTTACTCTTGTACCAGTGGTGCTATATATAAGTATTTATTTAAAGTGAAAGTAGATAAAATATATGTGTACGCAATCCAGTGATGTAAATTAATACCACTGGACACTATGTACAAATCTGCCACTGGTTACTCATGCATTTTATCATTGGAAACCAAAATAAAATTCACGGAAACAATATTTATAGGTTAACTATTTATAAGATAAATCATCTCAACAATAAATGAGTTGGATGCGGAGAATAACTTGATATAAGTAGAATCTACATATTTTGCTTTTGATATATCCTGAACAACGCTCGGCATTCCTCTGCGATATGAAAGTATATGATAATGCGAGGAATGTTGAGGTTCAACTGCTCTGATGTGACTAACATAGTTCAACTCACCACTATCTAATATTTTTTGACATCTAAATATTTAATATGTAGCTTAACTAACGTCATCATATTAATAGAACCTGCATGTTTTGCTCCTGATATATCCTGAAACAATCACTATATTGTTGTTTTAGTTTTTGTAGTAGTCATTAACGACTCCGCTTTCTGTTAGACATGCCCGCGTGTGGAAGGCGGCAAAATGAGAATGTGCCCCCTCTCAACCGGCAAAATGAGAATGTCCCCCTCTCAACCCCCCCACCCCACCCCGCAAAAGCATCATGTGGCGTAGAAGCCAGCCCATCGCTGTATAGGTGGTTCTGATAGGACACATAGTCCTTATTGACATGCTCACTAATTAAAATTTGAATTGGCCTCGAAATTTCAATTCTGTGAGTTGATTTTATATTACTATATATGCTGAAGAAATATCCTGTACAATAAAGCTAGAATTTTTGTCTTTGCCTTTCAGAGTTGGGTGCCTGAAATAGCCACCATAACATCAAATATGCTGGATAAATGGGAGGTTCTTCAGCGTAAGAAGAGCTCGGAATTCGAACTAGATGTTCACAAAGAGTTCCACATCTTAGCGGCAGATGTAATTTCTCAAATTGCGTTTGGTAGCAGTTATGAAGAGGGGAAGCGAATCTTCCAGTTACAAGAAGAACAAATGGTTCTTGTTTCTCTTGCAATAAGAAGCATTTACATTCCAGGCTTTAGGTGAGTCGGCCATCTTATTTTTACTGGGTTCATTGTGGATATGTGCTATAGCCCAATTGCGCATAGACCTGTAGTTCTATTGGTGATGATATACCCCCTCGGTGAACCTTTTTGACCCTTTAAGAGTAAAAAGAGATTCACTGAGGACTCTATCCACACTTGTGCAATAGAACAGTGGTCTATCCACAACTGGACGATAGCACAGGGGGCCTATCCACAATTATCGCTATTTTTAATTTATTTTCTTTTTCATATTTGTTTGTCAACTTGTTCTTTGTAAATTATTTTGAACTATGTTCTTTCAAGATTAGTCTGCTTTAAAAAGTCAAACGTGTTGTACAGTAAACACAAAGCACTAGGAGATGCCTGGTTTGTATTAAAGTCCTGGTCCAATCTATGTAACGGGAGTTTCATATAGACTTTCGAAGGCCTATTTGTTCACCCATTGCGTCCATAAGGCTCTAGGTGTTTATGAATAACATATATGCATGCATGTACGTGCACATTACATTGTATGTGCGTGTGTCTCAAGCGGTTTAATTTGTCTATTTGTTCTCATCCCGGATAAAAAGTTTAACTCGTCTATGATGCTTTGGAAAAATTGTTCGTAGAACAATATTGGAGGCAAATTAAACTAAAAACTAAAATTTCCTCTAGTTTTAACTTGGTGATGGTGAAATGGGTTTGGTTCTCCCACAGGTTTCTACCGACACCAAAGAACCAGAAGCGGCGGAGATTGAAAATGGAAATTAGTGACTCGTTAAGAAAGCTGATTCAAGCTAATGGCAAGAAGTGTGAAAATTCCAAGAACTTGCTCGGCATTATGATCTCAGAGAAGATGGAAATAGAAACAGTTATAGATGAATGCAAGACATTTTACTTTGCAGGAAAAGAGACTACAGCCAACCTGTTGACGTGGGCAATTCTTCTTCTTGCGTTGCATCAAGAATGGCAGAGCAAGGCAAGAGATGAAGTCATAACAATTTGTGGCAAGCATAGGATTCCTAACTCGGACGACTTGAATGACCTCAAAATTGTAAGTTATCAATCTTCATTCGGTGTGCTGTTTTCGCCATAAAATCGTAAGTTAAAAATTCCTGAAGATGATAGTAAGGAGAAGAGAGGGCCTTACCTTAAAGCCCAAAACTCTCGCAACCATGATGCAGAATAACAACATTTGCTTTAGTTGAAGACCAATATTGGAACACATAAAGTCAATGACTTAATTATGCTTAAACATAGGCCAGGAATGAAATGAACCGAAAAGTTTAAGTTGTTAGATATTTAACCCAACAATCTATTTAGGTTCATTACTCTTATTACTCTTTATAGTTATTTCTATTGTGGTTCTATGCTCATCATATATGAATTCCCAACAATCTAGACCTCTATTCTTAGGTACTGTTGGCAACAAGAGACTGTGTCTTATGTAAGAGATTGTGTCTTATTGACTTGGTCAATAAGCTAGTAGAGCTGTTTGGTGACAAAAAATAGGAGGAGATTATTTTGGAGATTGTGTCTTTTGCAAATAGCTTTTGGAAAGCTACCTCAAGTAGCGTTTGTCTTTGGGAAGGAGCTGCCAATTTTTCCTTCCGTTTTTATCCCAAATAATTCTAATTTTATATCAATAATATTGCATGTCCTTTTTAGTCATTTAACAAATTTAAGCTAGTTGCACAGCTACTTTTGCCAAACAGCTCTAGTCAATCAGTTAGCTACACAGCTATCAGCTTACAGCTACAATTTTATAGCTTTCAGCTAGCTTAACAGCTTTTAACTATAATCTCATAGCTTTCAGCTAGTTTTGCCAAACAGAGCCTTAATCTCCTAGCTACTACTTTCTGAATATGAACCTATTTATGCTTGTATGATTGGTAATAAAATTTGTGCTAATTGTTGATATTCCCCTGTAGGTATTGCTGTCTTGAACCTACTACCCCGTTACTTTTTTCTTTTACTCTTTTTACCTTTGCCCTTAGGGTGTCTATTTTACAGTTTCTTTTTCTTTGAGGATAAAAGAGTCACAAAAAAAAGTTTCACTCAAGGGGTCTATCTACAACAATAAAACTAGAGGGGTAGTAAGTTCCAAGGGAGATACTATAGGTGGTGTATCCACAATTAATCCATAAAATTAACGGTTCATTAACCCCCATGAACTATTGGGCAGTTGTAGTCAACCCTCCCATCAACTTTTTTTTATTAGACTAAACCCCCCTGAATTTTAGGAGTAATTGCACATAACCCCATGAATTATTTTATTTCATTAAATCTTACTTAAAAGTTTATCTTTTAATCACCATATTAGCATCAACTCTAGCATGTCATTGATAAGCACATGACAAAACAAGAAGACGAAAAATTCCTTATTGGTCCCAAAAAAACCCTTTATTAAAAGGAAAATTAGGTAATTTTTTTAGACTAAAAAATTAGTTCCATCCCTTGTTTTTGGCACATGCTAGCCACATGAGATGTGAGAACAGATGATGCTAATTTGGAGATTAAATGAGAAATTTTCATGTGACATTTAGTGAAATTTTCACATGAAATTTGGTGATTTCATGAGGCTGTGTGCAGCAGCTCCTAAATTTCATGGGAGTTACAATAAAAAAAGTTGATAGAGATTAACTGTGACTCTTCA